ACTGAGGTCAGATGATCCCAGCCAGATGCTTATTTTCAAATAAGCCAGGAGCCTCATGGCACCATCCAGGATTTGACCTTCATTTTCACATTTGGAGACTGTCATTTCTAGCTCCCTGCTGTTTGTAATGGAGCACCGTGCCCGTTCTCCAGTGGGAAATCATTTCCCTTCATACCAGTCACCCCTGCATAGCCATTTCCTATGTGCCTCTTTGAACCTTTCCGGGGGGCGGACGATAGCTAATCAACGAATGCAACCTCCCAAACTTAGATCTGTGACTTGTGGCTAAGTTTGCTGTTGATGCACTAGTTTGGGGGAGGTTTCAAGCATAATGGGCCACATACTCAATTGGGGTCAATTAGCATAGGCTTAGATTTGCAGGCGGTAAGCATCTGGCCGTCAGAACAAATGCCGTGGGCAATGACACCCTCAGCTCCCACTGAAGCCCCCGGGAAGGAGAGCACAGTCCACAGGCTGCTCCTCCTTGTAGGGGGTGGCTTATATGCTCAGTACAGTGGGCAGCTGAAACTACATTGGCAAGGGCTCCTGCTTTGGTTTAATTAAGCGGAGGGGAAACGTTGCATGCACGATTCCAAATCAGCCATTGCACATAATTACTCTGTTGCAAACGGGAACATCTCAGCAGATCACCAGAGCGGACCCGCCAGGGACACGTCAGGTCAAGCTCCGTTGACGTACCTGCATTGTCGTCATGCCCACTTCCTGGCCGATGAGAATCCTTCCTTCCTGCAGTCTGGCAACGTGCGGCTCCTCTAACTTCATGAAGTTGGTCACCAGGTCTGTTATGTCAAACTGCCAGTCGGGGCCCAGCAAGTAGCTGAGCTGGCCCCACGGGCTAGCGTCTTCGGCGACGAACTGGGTCAGGACTCGCACCGTGGCGTGCTGGTACTGGAGCGTGCAGCCTCTTCCCTTCCGCTCGTCCTCGTCCTCGTCGTCACTCTCTCGTGTGGGCCTTACGGGAAAAACGAATAAAGGAAGGAAGCATAAGAAAAGGTTTTGAAGGAAACCAGCCCCGTGGCCTCTTTCTCCGCAGTCAAAACTAGCAGCAGAGAGCTAAGCAGGGAAAGGACTCCATTGAGTAAGATCAGTTTAGAGGAGAAAAGCCATCGCCTTCTGAGCAGTGCACTGAGCAGACTTCACAGGAGAAGGTGAGCGGAGATGCCCTTTAGGGTGAGAGGCAGCCCCCTCGCCCAGCCCTTTGTAGGAGTCATAACTCACTGGCATGTGGCACGTTATACTTCCATGGTGATTACTGGTGGCATCATGCAGGGGACTGAAAAAATACAGTGAATCATCGTCTTTGCTTTGAAACCAGCCTTGGTAATACTAAAAGGCAAAGGACCAAACCCTTTTGAACTTCCCATAACTAGTGGCTGGATCCAGATCCAAAACCTGCAGCTTGCCGACAGGTATGTGACTGACTCAGGAGCACAAGCCCCCCTGATAATCAATGACTCGCAATGGGACTTCTGTTCCCAAGTTATTTAGGTGCATCTGAAAAGCACTTTGCTATCTCCAGCGGGCCAAACCACAGCTCTAGATCCAAGCGCTGCTGAACTCCAGGGGAAGCCATGGGGCAGATGCCTACTCTACACTATGGGCTGCTCTTTCTGGGGATGAACATCAGTGCCATTCTTTGCAGCCAAATGCTCGATAAAGTAAGGAACTAACTCCCCACCTCTTATTGGAGACAATGGGGACTCTCCAGCCTTTGATCTGGCTCAGCTCCGTGTCTGAAATGTCTATCTGAAGAGGCAGGCGTGGGACCCAGACTGTGATTTGCAGGGGGGCGTTCAGATACTGGTATGTGAAGTTCACGAGCACGTTCACCTTGCCTTTCATTTCTTTGCCATTGACAAAAACATAGTCGCATCTGTCAGAAACCTAAAGGATGAGA